ACACAGACACACACACACAGACACACACACAGGAAAGGAGGAATGAGTGTTCTGACCCTTTCTCACAGCTGTTGGGCAACATGAACATGAGCATTGTGTGCTGCATCTGCACATGTTCACATTTTAGATTTAGATTCAACTTTATTGTCATTACACATGTCACAAGTACAAAGCAACAAAATGCAAAGAAAAATACATTTTCCCCCAAACACTGATGCTATTTATTCTGTTGTTCTTTATATTTAGTTAAATCCAGCAGTTGGTGTTGGTGATGTTACACATCATATTTCTGCTACTCTAACACTCTTGTTCTGTCTTAAGATTGTGTTTAGTCGTGCAGGAGAGATCCACTCTAATCTTAACTTGTCATCACTCAGAATCAGTTCCCGTGCTTTGACTTACAAATGAGATATTGTGCTTTTGCATTTACATTTCCTGTTTGTGGTCAGAAACTGTCCTCACTTATCAACAGGAGAGACAGAATAGGTCTCCGTGTGTCGCTTTTTATTGTCACTTTACTATTTGGTTTTTGGAAAGAGTGACAAGAGGTGGTCGATTTAATATTTAAACTTTTGGTCTTATATAAATACTCATTATACTCATACAATACTAAATAGCCTTGGACCAAGCTTCGATTCTCATGTTACTGTGTCTCGAGTGATCTGTTCCTGTGGACTCTACGCTGTAAAATCATATAGTTCCCTGTTAGCTAAACAAGAGAGATTAGAATCACAAACCATTACTCAGGCCTAATATCTTCCCATTTAGTAGCTACATACCCATTCAACACTGGTCGATGACAGGGTGGTTATGTTAAGGCTTTTACACTGTGATCTGATGGGGGTGAAACAAAATAATTTTCTGTGAATGTGCAGGAAACATTGTACTCAGGGTTTCGAGATGTTGTGGTTGAAGACCAATACTGATCAGATACTAGTGCATTTAAAAGAATAATAACCTGTATTTTCTTCTGTCTCTTTCCCGTTTGCTGCAGAGTGAGTCATGGATTGGAGGTGATGATGAGCCTCTGACAGGTTTCACCTGGAGAGGAGGCTGCGAGAGGGAGACCACAGGAATTCAGATCTGGAGCGAAGTGTTTGTGATCGACAAGCCGGACGGCAGCAAGGTAGACAGTTTTCACACAGTACACCTCGTCCTTAAATGAGCTAAATGAGAAATGGTTAAAATGAAAGACCCTCAGATTTGTGTTCCCATTGACACAAATGCACAAATGCCATATTTGGTACGAACTGAAGCTGGCAGCATTTTACATTTGTTGCATCTTGTCCCAACAGGTAGCTGTCCTCCTTGTTGACACTCAGGGAGCATTTGACAGCCAGTCCACCATAAAGGACTGTGCTACCGTGTTCGCCCTCAGCACAATGACCAGCTCTGTACAGGTGAAACTTAAAGCGTGTTTAGTTTGGAAAATATGTTCTTCCTGTTCTCTCTTAGAAAAATCAACATTTGTTTCATGTTGTGTTTATTACTTTGTGTTTTCAGGTTTACAATCTCACCCAGAACATCCAGGAGGATGATTTGCAGCATCTGCAGGTTTGTGGCATTTCATCTCTCCCTCCGAAAAGAGCAGAACCAAACTCTGTTCTATCCTCCTTTCCTGTTTTCTGATCGTAATTCATTTTTCTCTCATATGTAGCTTTTCACAGAATATGGTCGACTGGCAATGGAAGAGATCTACCTGAAACCTTTCCAGGTACTGACTGCTTCTGTGTGTACATGCATGTAGTTGTACAAAATATTGTCACAAAATCAGATTTTCATAATTATTGTGCTCAAAACAATTCATTGAATTTTTTTACTCAATATATTTGCATGGGTAATTTTAACAGT